AATTTCCCGTTTGAAGCACTGAGTTAGCTGTTCTATTTCCTTGAAAGGCCAACCACTAATACAGACAAATGCAAACCTCAACTCTGGGAACAGGAAATTTAGAATAGGAGGGAATGGAAAGGGGTTGTGGGTCCCCATGAGACCTTTTTACTGTGGGACAATGAATGGTTCTACTTAGTTCATTCAGATGATTACTGACACCCGAATGATAGCTCTAGGATGTGAGGTAGGGGGAAAGAGGGGGAAGTGCCAGCAAGGTCTTCTAAAACGCAGTGGTAATTTTTTATTAGGTAAATGCATTTTAACAGCCAATGTAGGCTATGAGTAAACACATACATTATTTTCCTGTCTTCAAAGTGCTAGACAAATGCATAATGAAAATGTCAGCGATTGCTCTGCCTCCTGTCTCCATCAAGAGCCTTAGCACTGTCAGCATGGAATTAATATAAACCGGCATATTGGCTTTCTACCCATCCCCTGCTGCAATCTTCCATTTTTCTGAAGGGTATATAAAATAGAAAACTGTAAAAGGTCAGAGATTAATATTTACCCTAGGCTGAAGTTAGTGCAATTCTTTTTTTTTTTTTTAAAATATATCTTAAGTTAAAAACCATGAAAGAGAAATATGACAAGATTCAGTGTCTGAAAGCCTGGCAGTCCCACTGTATAATTAGCTGTCCACTTTCAGAACGACATGAAATTGTCATCAGTGGTGGGAGAAGCAGAGACCATTTATTCCCTGTATTAGCGTACTATTTGGAACTGGCTCCAACTGTATGACATTTATGAATTACATTCCCCCAACTCTTCTCCTGAGGACATCTTTGCTTGCATGGTGCAGTTGGTATCATGGACATTTCCCTTCCCAGGAAACCCAAAGTAACATTCGTATATTAATTTGCCATAGAAACAGCATAATTTGTGGCTGTGTTATGCCCTTTAGAACTAGAAGCCATTTATCTTTTGGCTAGGAAGAGTTTTGATCATATTTACACACTATGTAACTTACTTGTGTCCACAAAACCATTCCTCCAGACAGGGCTCCTTAGAACTGGTCATTTCCCCCTGTATTCCCCCCCTTGCGTTTTCCCTTTATGATAAATGTATACTGCAGCTCCACGGTTTCACACCCGGTCACTACCAGCTGCCCACAAGCATGGCCCTCCCTCACAGCTCCTCTGCACTGCAGTAAGCTTTATCCCCAGTTGATCCCTGCAGGCCCCACTCTACTACATCCAGCAAGTTAAAACTTATGTCAACTGAAAATGGATAGCGGAGCACAAGTCTGAGGAATGGGTACCCTATGTTGGACGATGTATCTCTCCAAAGATCTTCTCACTTAGCTGCAAGTAACCCTTGAAGCTAAGCGGATGATATCCACATAAAATAGGATATCTGTCAAAATCAACCAGCGCTTAGTCATAAAGGTGCTCAGCTGTGTCCTGTGATCTGCTGCTCCCTCTGCCATAATTCAAGCCTCTGGCTTTTGTCTTTGAACTTCTTCAGGAGAGAGCTGATGAATCTATTCAGTAACTTTATTGCTAGGTGAGACATTAAGAGAAGTATAACCTAGTCAATTCGATATTAAAATAATTGCCTAGCTTCTGAAAAATTCATACAAAGCATTCTGATATTTACCCCTTCCCCCAACTCCTCTCAGATCCACCCTCATTTTCTTACCCACCCAGCTGTGTGTGTGCCCTTTTTCTCCCTCCGGCCCCCCGCTTTCTTGATCCATTGAGTCCAATGTGTGCTGCCCAAATACTCAGCACTGCGCTGGAGCTTGGTTGACCAGTAGGCCACATCCTTAAAGACAACTCTTTCTTACCGACATTTCTTCAGTTAGGGATGGGACTTCGGGCCTCATCCCCCTCCAGGAGGGAATTGCGTCTGACTTGAGCTTTTGAAGGCCTCGTGCATGCTGTCACAACTGCTGTGAGTTCATCTGTGCAACTGTACTGTTGGGTACAGAAACCACTGTTTCCTTCTAGCCAGTCATTTACTCCTGCTTGCTCTTCCACTCTTCCACATCCCCTCTCCTCCAATGATCCCTGAACCTCCTGGAGGCTGACCAGTTGTGGATCTCTTTGTTAGCTATCACCTACAAAAACATGAAGCTTCTCTGAGGAGGACGGAGCGGCACTACTCTATGGGCATAGTACTAAGTCATTGGCAGTCATTTCAGGAACATAGTCAATTATTTTATTATTATTGTTTGCTTTTATTTATGTATTTATTTATGTATTTATTTATTTATTTGAGTCAGAGTTTCTCCGTGTAGCCCTGGCTGTCCTAGAACTCACTCTGTAGACCAGGCTGGCCTTGAACTCAGATTTGTCTGCCTCTGCCTCCCAAGTGCTGGGATTAAAGGCGTGTAAAAACTACCACCCAGCAACACAGCCAGTTCTTAATGATCTATTGTGAGTTGTGTCAGCTTCACACAATTACAGGCTAATTGTGTCTGTGCAGCTAATCTGCCTTTAGATTGTATCTCTGAGGCAAGCTAAATCAGGGTCAGAGAGGTTTGTACTACACAAGCCATATGCTGAAGACTTTTCATGCTTTTTGTGAGGAATTGAGTAGTAGTGGGGATCGAACCCTGGGTCTTGTATGTGCTGGGCAAGTGCTCCACCACTGAGCTATAGTGCTGGCTTTCCTTCCGGTTCATAGCCCAGGCTACCCTTGAATGCCGTGATCCTCCTATATCAGTCTTCTGAATATCAGCTCGGATTACAGACTTGTGCCACAGTGCCCAGTGATGCTTGTGTGTGTGTGTGTGTGTGTGTGTGTGTGAGAGAGAGAGAGAGAGAGAGAGAGAGAGAGAGAGAAAGAGAGAGAGAGAGAGAGACAGATGTAGCTCTGTAGCTCCATGGTCAGAGCCCTTGCCTAGCATGTGGAGGACTCAAGGTTCAATTCCCAGTACTGAGGGTGCTGGGGTGATAAACTAGGATGAGATATAAGAGGTAAAGTTCCTAGTCTTGATATACATGTGGTTTGGAAGCCATTTGGGAAAACAACTGTGGTACTCTGGGCCCCCAGATCTGGGCATACCAGCCTGTGAGCAAGGACTCTTCTGACCTTTTTCCTGAGGTCTTTTTCAGGCTTGTCAGTCAGACTGGAGCTTTGTCTGAATTTTAACCACACCTCCTGCCATTTTAGAGAATGGTAGCTCCATGTTTTTTAACTTCTCTGTTTACTTGTCCTACTTTTGATTTCTAATGGCTTCCTTCTACAGGTTCTTATTCTGGAACCTAGACTCCAAATGTCTCTGATTAGCCCAACCACACTCACTCTCCCAAGATAAAAGAAAGCACAAGGTTTTCCTCTAAAGGACAGACTGTGTAAAACCTCTGGAAATGGTTTCTTCAGGGTGTCTACCCACTACCATAAAAACTTTGCTCATTTACTAGGCAATGTCTGCTGTGATTGGATTTTTGATTATGTGATTCTGTACATATAGCTTTACTAAACTTAATTTATAAGAAAACACCCACTCTGTATTTGTAGCCTCTGTGGAGGCTATCAAGCTAAATCCTGAAGAGGTAATCCCTAATACATAGGAAGTCCATGCCCCAAGGCCAGAAACCTATAACTATCTGACATAGTTGAATAGAATAGAAAAGTTGGTGGTAAGATGTTGGGTGTATGATAATTTAAGAATCTTGAGGGGGAAAAATCATCAACTATTTGAACAGGCTCAATGCAATCACTCGGCTCTTTGTAAGAAACGAACAGGGGGTCATGAGTAAGAGAACGGTGGTGAGGAAGACCTTGGGAAGGAAGTGGGGAGATAAAGAGGGAAGAAGGGGTGGGAAGAGAGGGGACAGCCTGCAGCCTGAAGATGTACACTCGTGATTCTGATGGTGGAGGAACAGACTACAGACTGAGCAGTGCAGGAGTACTTGTGAAGAGTTTAAGTTAGCCTGGGTGACTCCATTTTGAAATGAGGAGCCATCTTGACCGGGAGCTGAACTCAGGTACCAGGAAATATCATAGAATGTGTACCTGGCAGAAAACAAAGTTAGCTCTTCCTAGCAATGGCCTCCAGGAAATATCAAAATAAATGTTTAGTAAAAAAATAGAGACAATCTCCCTGGCAATAATTAATGAGAATTGGTTGGGAAAATTTTCCCCAACATTTCAGATGTAGTTTAGAAGAATGGCAATTGTGATTATGTAAATGGTCACCTCTCCCCTATGGCTTTTACCCAATCCTGTAACATTAAGGCATAAATCCCCCTGTTTTCTGTCATGGAAATGTGTCCCCCTGCTTGCTGTCATAGAAACCCCCTGCTTGCAGTCTTTCCCTTTAAAAACCCTGCTCACTCAGGGCTCGGGGCCCCATTTCTCTACTGCTGTGTCAGTGAGACTTGGGTCCCGAGTTCGATCGCTCTTGTAATAAAGCTTTCTTGCTCTTGCATCGAGTCATCTCCTGGTGGTCTCTGAGGGTCCCGTGATCCTGGTATTACACCTGTGGCTTCCAGAGCTGGAAGAGACCTGGCAAAGATTCTTCCCTAGAGCCTCCAGGAGGAAAACACAAGCCTTCAGAGTTGTGGAATCATGTTGCCTTGCACCACTAGCTCATTTGTTACAATGGGAAGTGAATATTAAGATTTCACAATCTAGTAAGATAGGTGATGTGAGCCATGTGTTAATAATACAAAGAAACTGCTGAGGAGACATTTATGCAGTGAGTCCTCCCTGCTGAGGAGATGGGTGAGGCACCCTGCAGGAGGGCTCCTTTTCATAGCCTACAAGGAAGGAAGGTCTTCAAAAGGGGGATCCAGGGAAGCAGCAGGAGGATAGGTTACCCTGCAAGGCACAGAACAGGCCCATCTGGACTCTTGTGATGCGTTCTTTTTCCCAGGGTCTAAAATGACTTGGCTACAATTTTGCACATTCCACTGAAAATGTAACTTCTGGGGTTAGTAAAATAACAACACAACGCTGTAATTTTTAAAAGTAATCTTTATAACAATTGGATTAACTCGTGGAGCACTTCTAAGATTTTAAACACAGAGACTCGGATTTCAGACAAGAATTCCCTCTCGACACAGAACACGCCTTCAAAAGACGAACTGGCTCACTTCCAGACAGACAGGTTAACCATTGATGAACAGAAGAGTAGCAACTGCCAATCACACAATCACCATAAAAAGACAATTTGCTCAAAAGGCACTCATTACCATTTACAAATTAGACATTTCCTACAACCTTTCCATTTGGTCAACATTTTGTCTGACCAAGGGAAGCCAATGGAATCCAATGGACTGTCCCTAGTAGAAAGAATGGCACTGAGTATAAGGGTCTCATATCCCCACGTACCCCACCCCTACACACACACACTCCATGCAACACACCTCATGTAAAAGATTTATAGGGGGTCAGGGTATACAAAAGGCTGCCTCTGAACAAGGACAGAAAATAAAGGGCGAGGCCTTGAAACCCCCCACCCTACTGAGGGCAGAGGTGGGAGTGTTATACAGGTTATAGTGCATGGGCAGAGGGAGAACAAAAATGTGTTGCATTTGGCAGCTGGTGATGACTGGCTGCTGATTCTGAGTAGCTGAAGGCAGACAACAGAAGAACCTGGTTCTTGGATGTGGTTCTGATTCTCCATTTATCAATACCAAGGACCCACTAGGATGATGGAGAGACTTGAGACTTAAGATTCCTGCTACTCTTTGCTAGGTTTTGATGGTCAGAATCCAGAATCTTGAATAACTCTGAATGGCTCCACTTTAGCTTGCATTTGTTTGAGAAGCAGTCACCCCAATAAAGCATTTCTTTAGGTTGTTCTGTTTGTGGGGATGGGAAGAAAGGTACAGAAATGGCTGGCTGTTCATCTGTACCACTCAAATTCACCATCAGTAGCTCCCTTGGCCTTACTGAATGGAGCTTGTGTCCTTCCATGGTGACACCCTTTGCTCGGTGCCCTCGGCGACATTTGCTTTTCTTCCCCCCTGTATCATCTGGTGAATTCACTGCTTTTTGGACTGTTCATACTCACTGCAGAAGAGTCCAGAGGAGCACCTTTTCTCCATTGGCTTGTTCCCATAAGAATGGCCTGGTACTTCCCAAGAGGAACCCAAACTGATCTCAGTAGGCCTTAAGTCCTGGGATGATGCTCCGAGCTCTGGGAGCCAACATTCCTCAGAAGAGGAAGTGGGCATGTTGCAAGCGGCTTCACTTCTCCTATTCCCAGTGTTTCTGTCCAAGCCCAGAAAGGTAACCTCAGACTGGCTGCATTCAAAAGGGATTTTCGGAGTCACTCTGTCTACCCTCACTGCTTCCTCATGTGGTGCTGAGTGATTATTCTGGTTCTCATCATCTTCCACTGGAATACTTCGGACATTATCCAAGAACACAGGAGAAGGACACCTGAAGGACTTCAGTGAAGTGGGAGGGTCCTCTGCAAAATACAAGCTGGGCTGCGAGCTCTCCAGAGTGTTCAGGACCTGGCAAGCGAGGAAGCAGACACGGAGGGAAGCTTGAGTGACACACCCTGTTACATTTTCCTCTCTCATTTTCCTGATGAGCAATTTGAGTAAGTAAAATATAAAAATAATAAAGTAAGGCAAATATGGAATTTTTTAATTAGAAAGGTTATTAGATCCTGGAGAAGCCCCTACATTCCAAGGATCACATCAAGTGACTTGAAGGAAGGCTTGAAAGAAACTACCTACTATCAAGACACCTGATTTCAGCCATGAACTAGCCATCACATCTCTCTATGCTGTCAGATATGTATTCACACATTTTCAACCACAGGAAGTAGGGGATTCTCACGGATTACATCAAAGGTAAGCTGATCTCCCTTTCTCAAATGCCAGGATCAGAAAGCAGGGCTTTCTAGAACTACAGATCTCTTCCCCAACCAAGAGAATGTCATGAAAGAAAGAAAGAAAGAAAGAAAGAAAGAAAGAAAGAAAGAAAGAA